TGCACTTTGTTACTGCCTGTGTAAGTGTAGCCCCCTGCCCTTTCCACGGTAGAGCTGGTGGCGATCTCCTCCGCCCCCGCCACTGGATGTGTCCCGTGACCTCCCCATGCCTCCTCACACCCCCGAAACCAGGAAGAGTGACGTGATGAGTTGTTCTCCTCCACAGCACCAGCCATGGTCATCTTCTACCTGGGGGGGAGTGTAGAAATCGCTAACCTGACCTACACAAGCCAGCTAGAAGACCCGCAGTCGCCGCAGTTTCTTTTACAAGCCGAGGACGTTAGGAATTATGTAAGTGCCTTTACATCCTCCGAGCTTAGATGGAGCTCGGGCTATTTTTTTTTTTTTGGGACAACTTAAGTTAAAGGCAAGAGCTCCTTCTTTAGCCCTTTTAAATGTAAAGACCGCGCAGTAATCTGAGCCCTGCTTCTCCGGTATTTGCCCCCTTTCTCTTTGAGGCTGAGCAACTAGGACGGCCCTCAGGGATCAGGGCTTTCAGAACGGAGTACAAGAAAGTCCCTTGTCAAAACAGCACCAAGGAATTAAAACCAAGACCTTTTAAACTCATTCCGCTCAGTGTTCGGAAAATTAATGGAAGATCATTTCCTCAATAGAAACACTGTGCCTTGGCGCGGGCTTCTTGAGACACAGCTGTACTGCTCCCCTAGCAGAGGTGCTAGCGTGTCTCCTCTCTGATTCTCATTAGGTTAATAGATGGGAATGGGCACTGTGAGCTAGGAGTGGGTGTATCTCTGTCCTGTCACCTGGCTTCACAGGAAGCAGGACATGAACATACCCCCCAGAAATATGCTTCTAATAGTGAGAAAGACTCGCCAATATCTGATTTTTCTGAAATCCGTTTTGAGCTATCACCTGAAATGCTTAAGGTACTTTCCCAAACGATTACATTTTTGATCAAATCTGATGAATTAGATCTCGTTTCATCACCTGCCCTCAAAGTTCAAATGCATCTCTTGTTAATCAGAGTAGTGACTCTTCAGGGTGTTTTTTGTCTGAGCTCAGACTGCAATCCTAGTTTTCTTCCCCGTGCGCGGTTATTTTTTTAGGTCTGAAAGTGAAGTTACAGGGAATGTCACACTAGTCCTGCCCTTACCCAGAACATCATGAAAGAATTGATCTTGCGCTGTCAAGCAGCTGTTTGACTTGGGATTCGAAACTGTCGTTGAT